AAAATTGAGCACAATTTGGAGCACAAATGGTATAGTCATGGTGATGACAGCAATAGAATTTGCTAACTAGGCACTGAGTAATACTAAATATTAAAATACGTTCCACGACCTGCTAAGACTAAATTTAATATATTCCCTTATTTATTTTACTATTCATTAATAAGAGGCGTTTATATGATTCAAATAATAACTGAAATGCTATTATCCATTAGATACACGATTCAGCTATAAAATTACTGATTAATGGCTTAACTGTTTTCCCGTGATTCTTGTCTCAATTTATAAATCTTTTAAAAATTTTACTTGTTATTTTAAACAAATATTTACTTGGCAAATAAAATATATTTGACAAAAATCTGAGGGCTGAAAGAAGATGTATCGTAAAATATTTCCAAATTTTGGTGAAATAATATGTAAGAAAATATTAATATGAGTAAGCAAAAATGTGCACAATCATTGAACATAGCCTAATTGAATTTTTTGTGTTCCTCTGAAGAATTGTCATAAGATAAGTGTGCTAATAAAAACGATGCAGGCAGTTGCATGCATGTGTTGAGCTTTATATTTAGCAAATAGACAGCAATGCGATTCTAAAGATAATGCATGCTTATAGGACAAATGAAATTATGCTCAGGGAAAGATAACTTGTAGAAGGCTTGAAACATAAGTCCTTGCACTTACTTGACGCCGCACCCACAAAATTAACATATTTCTTAAAGCAACCGAATGTCATTAGAGTAAAAAATTGTTTATCTGTAGAAAAGTATATTATGACCCAATAAGCAAGTAATTTGTACATAGAATTTATAGTTCCACTAGATCGATCAAAGAAGAAACCCTAGTCACACGGCAAGGGTGTTTGTATCGGACCCTGCGGAATGCAGATTCATAAAGGGAAGAAGGTAGTTTCAAGTGATGCAGCCTATCAGACATCAGAAAAATTATTGATATTTATTTTTAAGTTGGTCTCCCATGAATGGATATGTATACATGTAAGATTACCGAAAGGCAATATATGGCGTGGCATCACGATTGGCAAATCTTTAGTAAATTTCGATAAATGGAAATTTATGGAAACGTGGTAAGATATATAACATAAAAGAAAACTTGTACATATATATATATATATATATAGATAGATATAGATATAGAGGGAGAAAGAGAGAGAGGAAAACCAGGACAAGGATGAGTGTCCCAAATAGAGTGAGATTTGGAGAAAAGGAGTAATTTTAAAACTTATCAAACTGTAGACTGGATCAAAGGCCGACTCATGAGATCCAGGTCAGGCAAATTTGGCAACCTCCGATGAATGTCTTCTGAGACAAGAGGTGCGTGTATTTCAGAGGTCGTCTCCGTAACTCGGGACCCATGGGGCGAGAGGTCATTGTCGTCATTTGTATGTTTACTCGCCATAAACGAGCTACCTACCGTGCCAACCCCATCGCTTACAAGGTCATCTCTTCGCCTGCCTGGACAACAGTTGCTGCAGGCGATTGTTCTGTCAGCTCTCGAGGAATCGGCTACTAAACCACTGTACCATCCATGGAGGTGTCTGATCTGCTGGAATCGACGTCGTCGGCCTTTACCTACGACCAGTTTAGTATTATCTATTTCAGATGTTTTTTTCTGAAGGTTGGGCTCAGTAGAAAATGTAACTGTGACGGCCGTTGGCACCTTGTCTGTCGCATAAACGCTTTGGCCACTGGTACCATCTGCTTGAAGTGAAGGCTTCTCCTGAGGAATGTTTAGGACGTTGTTTGGTCTGTAGGCTAGGTCAGCATTAGTGCTGGTTTCTAGTTTGTTCACGCAAAGTTTTGCCTTACTTCCAACTGTCTGAGTAATGGCCGAGTAACTGTGTCCGCTTTGCCCGGACTTGCTGGCTAAACATGCGAACCAAGGGCACATGAGTCTTAGGTCGGCAATAAAAATGCTCGATGTAAAGGAATAGATGAAGAAATGCGTCAAATGGTTGGTGATTTGTAGCAGAATGCAAAATGCCTCCACAGCATCACACTGACTCAGCCAAGCCTGCCCTGCCGTCAGACAGACACTGTCGTTGACCAGATAGAAGATGACTATCGGTGTTGTAAATACGAAGTGGCTGATAGCCATACAGATAACGGTGCGCAGTATCCGAGTGGATCGAGCTTCGCGGGCTCGAGAAGATTCACTTTGCATCAATACAGCACTGCTTGTCGGGGATCCAAGGCTCGAGAAGTTGTTGGCACCCCCTCCACCGACACCAGTTGCCTTGACAACACCAGTGGGGACGGATTGGATACGACATCGAACCAGCCTCTGAGTGCGGCGTAGACGACAAATTATGCTTGCGTTAGCAAAGAGTATCCATACCAACGGGATTAGCGAGTAGATGGCCATGTCTATATAGCGCCAATAGGCATGAAACTCACTGAATCTCTCGTTCTCTTGACATGTGTTGCCCTGACCACGCTGAGCTGTCCAGAGAAAATGCATGTTGACGCCCAAAAGAAGAAGTACAACAACAGTTAATGCGATTGCCCCATTGCACAGACGACAGAGTTGGCGAGATCGTATCGGCGCCCAAGCACAAATGGCCCGCTCTACACAGAGCACGATAATGATCCAAGTTGAGAGATCCGAGGCAAATGTGAACAGCCAAAGAGGCAGTTTGCAGCCAAGTAGGAAACGAAGATCAATTTGAAGATGGCTAAGGCCACGGATCCACTGACGCAGGCCACATTGGATTAGAACATAAGTGTCAGTCAAGCACATGACTCCCAAAAAGAGGCTGGTTGAACCGGGTGTGGCTGGAACTCGACGCAACCAAATAACCATACTCACCAGATTGCCGGGAAGTCCGATGAGCAGAAAGATTGGCGGAAAGATGGAGAGCATTAAGATCTCAAGCATTGTTTCAGGTCTAGTCGAACTCGGAAGTCCATTCGAAATGACCATAGTAATATTTGCTAACGACGACTGAAGTTGTCCTGTCTCGGTTTTATTAATTAAAAATGTCCGACTGAGAGTAGTAATGATGCTGGAGTCCTCCATACCCGCCAACTGGCTCGCATCTAGCGGGAAGTTGATACCAATTAGATTATGTGTAAGGTTGACGTTGAATGGGTTGGACTGTCGGAGGAGAAAAAATATTATGGCTAAAGTCGTTTAGAGTGAATTAAATAAAAGCCATAATTCTCGAGTGGCCATCATCAGCTTAAAGCCGGAAACCGTGATGAATGAAAGGGATAATTCATATGTGCGTGTGAAAAGCATCCGGCAGCAAAGGATGAATGGACCAATCAGAAGCAAAGTTATTTCATGAACCAATAAGGGACGACTTTATGCATTATTGTATGCAATTATGAGAATTATCCGTAATGGAAGGCAAATGGCAAAAATTTAGACCTCTTTGACTCAACGAACTCATAAAAGTACCCAATCGAGGAAGCTTCTTTGTATGGTGCCTATGGTAAGCAGCCTCTTTATGTAGGTCTCTCAAAAGGATACATGCAAGTCCTTCCTCTGATAATATCACAATTAATTAAATCGAGGCGAGGTATAAATTGCACCATATTCTGGATGAGAAAACTTTGTGGGGAGCAAAGCTAGGTGAAATGCAATGGTATTACATAGCATAGTCATATAAATATGGATATAACTTCGCCATCAGTGATTAAATCACCGTAAGCGATCTAAGGTGATAAAGTATGTAGCAAAGCATTAATTAATGTCTCAAAATCGAATCATATTGAATATATGGTGATCATTTTTCGATTTATTTCAATTTTGAGTGAAAATGTGAGTCGAAGAAATTCAAAGGTGAATCACATTAGAAGACGATGGTTGGCTTTATTATAATATTATTTTAGCCCTGTTCTCAAGGTGATTTCCCTGCATTTCAGTGAAAATGTGCTAGGCTCTCGTTACTCGTAGGATGGACATCTTAAAAGCATGCTAAAATTTTCACAACCATATTCAAACTCTCGGGTTTTTCATAAGTTCTGTAATATACTGTAATATAATCTCTGAATTTTGATGAGGCAAAAAGCGATTTGGTTAGTTAAAGTCATTAATCAGTCTAGAAGCATGTGCGTAAATCTATATGAGCTCAGAGTAATTAGAATAGGACGTAATCAAGATTTAATGAACATCCACCCCCGTTTTTATATTTTGTCCATAACATTAATTGCGTAATGATGTACATATATATGGTTTCGTTGATGAGCTTGTTGTCTGTGTTTGAGAGCAAGAGTGAGTTAAATTGTATTAAAGTGTGATAGAGATTAGAACCAACAGAAGACTAGATAAGTTGCCTCTTTTTTCAGACGGCTTAGCATCGTTTCTATCCTTAAGTCTATCAATTAAACATAAACACTTATTACCGGTATTCCCTGCATTCAACATATTGTCTAAACTCTAGATTTAGATGGCTACAGGAATACAATACTCAGCAAAACGATAAGTTTGAGGCCATTCTATTATCTAATGTCCTGTTTCTGCAATATGTATCGATAACATTGACTTTTAACAAAAGAGCTTTTATAGGAACTTTTGTGTCCAACCATCCCTTGTCGAAAAGAACTATGGGTCTCTCTAACATAAAACGACTACATGAACACATTATTTCATAACAGCCTGATCTGAATAATGGGCAAACCTTTTCTCTAAAAGTGTCATAGTTTATATTCCTCCCATTAAAGCAAAGTCAGGGCATGAGAAGTAGCTTTAGTTTTTTATCTATTCTCAATTATTAGCCATTTAAAAAGCATTTCTTATTAATCTGATGTTATTTTCAATCAAGCCTAGAGAAGTGTTATTCTTAACTACTATAGGTTTAAAAGTGGGCTGACCTCGTTTTCGCAACTTGGTCTTGTTGTCAGGACGAATTGGTTGGGTACAGCATCCCGAAATCCTCTGCCATGGTAGTGATCATAATTCCTAACGTCAGACCGTGGACTTGGTACATTCTCAGACATTTCGCCGGCATCGTATTCGGCATCATCAATGAGACTTGCGATTCTTAGAACCAAGCTAAAACTCATCAAAGAGACAAATGAAGTCATTCCCATGACCAACTTTCTGCCGAAGTGGCTGTGCTGTTGTCTCTTTGAAGGGTTATAGTTTGGTGCTGAGAATGCCGACTACGATATCGGAGAAATATATGGGAATGTATCAAATGTACGGTTTGATGTTGGGAATTCTGATAATTTCTATGGCAGAGGACTTCGGACAAGGTGCATCCAACTAAATCGTCATAACAGCAAGACCAAGTCGCGAAAACGAGGTCAACCAACTTCTATGCATCGAAAGAAGACTGCGACCATACCGAAGGCCACACCATATTGGTCTTCATACATTTGAATATTAGTTTAAGTTTCTCTAGCGCACCATGGAAAGAGTCTCTATTGGTTAATCCTATACTCCGAGTATTCAGTGATTTCAAAATACCAACCTTTGGAAATGGCCAGCATCTGCTGGCTTCCTATATGTATCCCTTATTGATTTCCCGACATTCCAAAACGATAGTGCCTTATTTTTTTCTATTTATATTTTATACTCAGTACTACTAACCTTCTGAGAAATCAAGAACAAAAAATTATTTAATATTTTCTTACCGTAAAGACAAATCGCAAGGTGACATTTTTTAAATATCACTCATACCTCTTTCGTTACTAATATCCGAATGTATTCAATATTCGTTTCATAACTATTAGGATATTTATTTTTTAATCAGTGTACGAGTTTCTACTGGAATTTGTACCGGATAAATTGCGATTTTAAGAACGAGGAATTAGACACAAAGCTCATTTTAACAATAAATTTCACTTCGACAGACATCTCAAAAGGTCGTACGCATTCAGTACGGGCTTTGGTTTTGTTTCGCCTAGGTGGCCTTGACACATCCCAGTGAGACTTGAACCACTATCATATAGATTAAGAAGCAAAACTGTTACCCAGGCCCATTTTGGTTAAACTTGGCACTTTGGGAAACCTGGCGACGACAGATTGGGTGCATAGATCGAGATTTGTCCTTACGCCACAGCGATAAAACACGCTATTATGCCAATAAAAAACGCATTTGAAATTCGCACATCTCTACAGCAAGCGTTTATAATATTTTATTTATCTTCGCATCCGTATATCTCTAATAGTGCCAGTATCAAACTAGAATAAAAAGTAATTTTTAATTATATTTTTCTTCAGTGGGTTTCGTCTATCTCGCAATTATCCGAGCTAAGCATACAAATAAAGCCCTTTTGACAGAGTAATTTTGCTCTTAGGACCTGGTATGCTGACCTAGCAGATGGTCGACTCAGAATCTCGTCTGTTGACTAGTCCCAGATAAGGATAAAGAAGACCTTCTGAATCCAAGGCGGAGAAGCGATTCCTACCTGTTACATTTTTAGTAAAAATTCATCTATACTCAGAGGCATTATCCTAAATCTGGCCCGGAACAATTGACGATGCATTTTTATTGTAGCCCTTTGGCAAATGGAGAACCTGAATACTTTTGATGACTTTTTGAGGTTTATTCGAGAGAAGAGCACCAAAGAAGTAGAAGAGACTAGTGACTATATTACTTGGTGTACAATTTGAGGTGATTTGAAAGAATATAACTTAGATTGTGATATCCCATTTAGGAGTATTGATGTGGCACTTTCCGGGATTTTTCAATCAAGACGCCAAAAGTTTATCCAAGAAACAGAGGTAGCAACGCTATCATCAAATCAATACTAAATCCATGTTGAAAAGCAGGCATTACTTTTTAACCTCTTGGGACTGGAAAAATTCTTGTACAGTGTGAACAAAACATCGATGTCTGCAAATAAAATGGATTCTCAATGCTTATTGGGTGTCGATAAAGATGATTAAAAATCACTTCCTCTAGCAGAGAATGAAGACTTGTGAAGTTAATTAAATTGAGGGCTTTCCCCAACTAGGATAAAAATAGATCCTCACACATTCGAATTTCAGGCTTTATGTAGTCTTTGCTTATAGAATAGCTCACTTATTTCATATTTACCTGTTTGACTTAATTCCTGTTTCATATGATAATAATATGAATTGACTGCAATGAGTTGTTTCTCTGGTTAATCAGAAGAAATTCATATGCCGGAAACTTTGGGCGAACCGGCTGGCACTTATTGGTCGGATATCCCTTTTCTTTCAATTCAAACATGCCTTTTCCGCCAGAGTGACTATACCTTCGAGTAATAAGAAGATCACTAAGTCAAGTGCACGGTCGAGTGCTTTTATAAAAAAGTACCAGACTCCACACGAAAGCATGCCAGTTCAGCCACTTCTATGGATAACTGGTCAATGATCTTGCCCATTTGTAGCCCTAAACTCATTGCAAATATATATCACGGCATAACGTAAGGGCTAAAAATTTCCGAATTCCCTCTTTTAATTAAATATTTTCTGTGGAAATCTTGGATTGATTTTTATGGTATGTTTAATTAATATTTAAACGCATACGGTTATATGTTTGGGCATTCCTTTTAATCACCTCATCAGAAAAGAATTTCTTGAGAATAAACATCCCCTAGGCTTGAGTGAAAATAACATTAGATCAACAAAGAATAGCTTTTTGAATGGTGAATATGTAAGGAGAGATAAGGAGACCTTTGCTCTTTACCTTCGTGCATTCTCTCTAAAAGGAGAGGTAAGCAAGTAGGGAAGTGGGGAATAAAAACGGTCTTCAGCGAAGCTACGACAGTTTCTTTAGTTATGCCCACTTTTAGAGAGAAATTTGATCCATTATCCAGATCGGGTTGCTACAAAATAACGTGTTTATGTGGTCGCTTTTATGTTGGAGAGACTTGTTGTCCCATTCGACAAAGAGTGGCTGAGCCCAAATGCGCCTACAAAGGCTGTTAAGTTTAAAAAACGGAGTTTGCTGAGCCCAGGGGAGAAACGGTAAACGAGATTGAATGGTCTCAAACCGGAATCTAAGGAGATTGCCCCGGAAACAGCGTCAGGATAAATCTTCCAGTAAGGCCAATCGACAGCTGTTCAAGAGGAATCTGCCGTCGTCTTCTTGTAGAACC